ATGGAGCAGTTTTATTCTGTCCTGTAGGGTTGCTATGAGTCGAAATCGACTCGACAGCAATGGGTTTTTGGTTTTTTATATATATACATACATACATACTATATACATACATACATACATATATATATTGTTAGGTGCTGCAAGTTGGTGCTGACTCATAGCAACTCTATGTACAACAGAACAAAATCCTGCTTGGTCCTGTGCCACCCTCACAATTGTTGTTATGCTTGAGCCCATTGTTGCAGCCACTGTGTCAATCCAACTCGTTGAGGGTCTTCCTCTTTTTCGCTGACCCTGTATTTTGTGTGTGTGTGTTTATGTATGTATGTGAAAAAGCAATATTGTGGCAAAATGTTGTCAATGGGTTGGGGTAAATAGGTATGTATTGTACTATTCTTGTGACTTTCTGAAGATTTAAAATTCCTTAAAATTAACAACCAAAAAAAGTTTTAACGCTTAGAGACACCAGTTGGAATTATATGTGTGTAATTCTGAGGAACAGCAAGCAACTTATTCTGTGTTTATAAAAGTCTAGAAACTTAATAAAGAAATAAATCATTGTTAGGGGAAAAATTAAGTTAAATGAACTTTTAATTTTTTGTAGGAAATTCATGGAATGCAGAATTTTTAGGACATCAAGGAAGGAATGACTCTTGTCCCCGAAAAATTTGCAAAATGGAAACATGGCTCTGTGAACAAGAGACTCAGGGACAGCTTTTCTGGGATGGTTCTAGCTCTGACTCAGATGAGTCAGGGAAAGATGAGAAGAAGCCACGAGCACTGGTGAGGACCAAGACAGAGAGAATTCCACTTTTCGATGAGTTTTTTGATCGAGAATAAGAATGCTATTCATTAATCTAGATACTGAGTGCATTGAAGCTTTTCTTTCCTGTAAAAATTCTCCCAAGTTGATGTATGAATTATTCTGAGGGAACCAACTTACTTTCTTTGGTAAAAAGAAATGATATTGTTTGGATTCTCTTGATTTACAGGTTTGTCATATGTTCTGTTACCTATTGCTGCATAAATGCTTCAAAACTTAAAGGCTTAAACAAGAGCGATTTTATTCTCTCTTACCTTTCTGCGGGTTGCTGGGCTCAGCTGGATGGTTCTTCTGCTGGTCTCTTTTGGAGTCTCTCATGTGGTTGAAGTCAAATGGCAGCCAGGACTGGGGTCAGCTGGAGGCTCAACCCAGGCACTGAAAGAGCTGGGCCTCTCTCTGTCTATCTATATGTAAACAGACCCTCTTTACAGGGTCTCTTTAAGTGGTCTCTCCAGAAGAGTAGTCAGTTTTCTTTCATGTCAGCTCAGAGTACCCAAAAGCAAATGTTACAAGAGGAGGAGGCAGAAGCTGCCAGTTTTCCTAAAGGCTAGTCATGGAACTGACATCGCATCACTTCTGCCACATTCTATTGGTTAATGGAAGTCACAAACAAGTTCAGAGTCAATAAAAAAGAGACTACACAGGGCGTGAATTTCAAATGCACAATCCATTAGGGTCCATCTTTGGAGACTCGCTGCCACGCCATATTTTTTAAAAGCAAATTAGATCTTATAAAACAAATAGATAAGAGTCGATTTGATACAAATAAAATTAGTCTTTTATTTTTTCTAAAGAAAAGTCGCTGTAATGCTATATTAGACACTAACCTCACTTAAGTCAATTTCGCACAAGTTAGAGGTTTATTATCTCCATAAGAGAGAGGCTACAGGCAAGACGTAAAACAAGGTCAAGTGTGGAGGGTCGTTGTAAATTGAAGCTCAAAATTAAATGAAGACAAACTACCTCTTTGGTTATGATGTAGATTTTAGAGCCCTTTAAAACTGAAAGAAACCTTAGATATGCCCAGTCCAAAAGTTATTCCATTTCCAAAAGTTAGACTGTTAGGCAGTTTTTCGGAATGTTTCTTGTATAAAACGAGGCTCCACTGTGTACTGAGCATTGTTTTTAAGCAATCAGAAGCTTCTGAGGATTTAGTGAAACTTTAAAACAGAGCAAGACAAAAACATTTTTAAGTCTTCTCTAGGGAATTCCCAAAAAGAAAAAATAGAGAGGAAACACACACACACACACACGCTCCCCAGTGTGGCACTCAATACATTCACATCAGTCACTAAGAAGATAAAAAGCCTGATATACCAGGGAATAAACATTCATGTTTCTTCCAAGGACGAAAGGTAATGAGACTGTCCCTGGGCATTTCTACTGCCGGTTCTTTCTGAGAAGTACTCTTCGTACTTTCTCTGTAGCAAGTAAGAAACAAGGAGCCCTAGTGGTGCAATGGTTAAGCACTAGACTGTTAACTGAAAGGTCAGAGGCTTGAATCTACCTAGCATCTCCGAGGGAGAAAAAAACTGGCGATCTGTTCTGTAAAAGATTACAGCCTAGGAAACCCTATACTGGGCAGTTCTACCCTGTTATATAGGTCCCTGTGAGCTGGAATCAACTCAACAACACATAACAACAAATAAGAAATATATTTCCAACAAAGGAATAAATAAGTTGTTTGACCAGCTAGACTTACAAGAAAGTAAGATCCTTGAGAGGAGGAATGAATCCAACCTATTTATAGCACCCTCACGTATTGTGGTTGATTGGGAGGGTTTCAAACAACATGGGACAAGCAACTCCTAATACTGATGTTGGGGGGTGGAGGAGGCAAAGCATGTCTTCATTACTCCGCTCTGACTTCAAATTGGACAACACCCCCCTTCTGTCAGCTCACTGGACTGTGAGCTACATGAGGGCACAGTCCATATCTTCTCCCTGTGGTGTCCCTATTTCCCAGCATGCCATCTGGCACAGTTTATCATTAAATGTTTGTTGAATTAATTAATTTATGTGTTGAGTTAACTAGTCCATTAGAGAGGCACTTGTTTCTCTCCAGCTATGTAATGCTCACCCTCATTTCCATCATTTCCCAAGAATCTTAGATATACAAGCTTGATTATACAGAAAAGAAACGGGATTTAAAAAAAAAATCTCTTGGAATTTATACATCTAAATGGATGGCATAAATTAAGCATTGCCTTGGGATACAGTAGCTAGACATATTTGCAGATGAGGATGCCATGACTCAAAATATTTTTTGAAGCTCTATCAGAGTATGTTAACTGCAGGAGAAAATCGATCATAATGCCTTCTGTGTTTGAGTTTGTGTGCCTGTTCCACATGGAACCCTCCCTCATCCAATTACAGATTCAGGAATTTAAAACGAGTAATAATGATAGCAATAACTGCTAACGTGCATTGACTGCTTATTGTGTGCCAGGCACTATTCAAATGCTTTACATGTTTAATCCTCACAACGACTTCGTGGGTCAGTATTACTGTCATCTGAGACACAGAGATGTTAAGTAACTTGTTGGAATCACCTAGAAGAACTGCCCTTGGGAGTAGTCTTCCCTCCCTCCCCAATTCCACCTCCAACTCATCGCCACATTACGTGGCATTCCACATTTCTATTATGTGTTGTTTTGGAGAAAGGTAATACTACCCCAGGAGCCCTGGTGGTGCAGTGATTAAAGAGCTCAGCTGCTAACCAAAAGATCAGCAGTTCAAATCTACTAGCCACTCCCATGGGAGAAAGATGTGGCAGTCTGCTTCCGTAAAGATTTACAGCCTCAGAAACCCTATGGGGCAGTTCTAGTCTGTCCTATAGGGTCACTATGAGTCGGAATCGACTCAATGCAGCGGGTTAATACTACCCTGGAAAGGGTGAGAGCATTGTGGGATTATTTTTTAGCAAGGAAGAATTGCCCTGGAGCTTGATAGTTTAACTGTGGGCACAGGGCAGGATTAGATCTCTGAGGAACACTTCACCGGGAGGAAGTGGGGAGAGGAGTACAGAAAGGTGGATGAAAGAGTAAGGGCAAACTTAACATTCTTCAAAAATTGTCCGGGGATCAGGCCACGTGCTCAACCCCACCATATAGCCCTATCCAGAACAGAATTCAGTTGCACACCGTGACAAGAGCTAAAGGGTTCTCAATGCTGGCTACAGGTCAGAATTACCTAGCCAAGTGTTAAAAACAACAATAAAAAAGATTTCTGTGCCCCATTTTTTAATCTGATTTGGTTTGGTAGGCTTCTGTGTGTGTGTGTGTGTGTGTGTGTGTGTGTGTGTGTGTGTGTTTTAAGATCCCATGTGAAACTAATGTGCAGCTAAGGTTGAGAACCACAGCTTTAGTGGTATGAACTTCGTATTTTGCCAGGATAAATCAACTTCTGTCTTTAAAATCACCAACTTCTGAGATAATTCTTTGAAGGTAAGGAGTTGAGGCCTGGAGCGCCACAAAATAGTAAGAGCAATGTTGATTTTGTTGGTAGTTATCTGAGAACACCAACCCTTCAGTTACTTCTGAATTTATTCAGGGGCTGTTGCTGGTGAAAACTATAGAATTCAGCCTGGAAGCAACATTGTCAATTTTCTTCAGCTGAAAATCTCCCCAGCTTTGAAAAAGAAAAAAGGCTTGTCTGTGGTCAAATGCATATCTTCTCTTGCAAAGACAATATTTTCTTTCTTGCTCTGAATTTTTCATGAGAAAGAGAAATGTCTCTTTTTTTTCTTGTATACTTTTGGAAATGTGATTTTCTCCTTTTATCTATTTTGATGATAATTCTGAGTTACTGTACTAGGGTTTAACAAAAGATAACTCTTGCAGGAGTCATCTATGAAACAGCCTTTTAACAAATGGATAACGTTTTCTGCCTGCATAGAGCCTTTACAAACAGAAAACAGAACACCAGCTCCCTTTCCTACCACAGAAGCATACTGGTCATCAAATCATAATTAGCATCAACTATTTCCTGTCTTGAATGAACAACAAAAGCCTATTTCCACACGTTGCCACAAAACCTTACTAATTTAGAGTACTGTAAGAAGGGCTCTGGAGAAGTACACTGAGGGGTAGCTTAGGGAAGGCCAGGCAATTAAAAGTCTAAATTACATCATATTTTTAAGGAAATGCTATCTTATTCAAGTACAGAATAAACTAAACCACAACTGAAGACTAGGTCAATAGTTAAGGTTAATTTTTATACGTATGTAACACATGAAGTCACCATGAGTCATAATCAACTGGATGACACAAGCCAACAATAACAACATGGTTCATAAGTCTACGGTTCATTCATTTAATCGTGCATTCAGCAAATGTATTTTGAGTATCTAATACATGCCAAGCACTATTCCAGATGGTAAGAATACAGATATAAATAAGACAAAGTCCTTGCACTCATGGGTTACATTCAAGTTGGGAGGCCATGAGCAGATAGTCAAGTATTTGATCCAATTTCAGGTAATGTTAACTATTATGAAGAAAAGTAAAGCAAGTAAGAGGACAGGCATGGATGGAGTGGACTGTTTCAGAGAGGATGATCAGGAAGGAACTCTCTGAGAAAGAGACCTGAATGAAGGGAGGGTATAAGCCACGAGATGACCTGTAGAAAGGCTTTCTAGACATCAGAAGAACAAGTGCAGAGGCCCCAGGGTGACAATGAGATTTTAAGCTTCAAGAGCCAGAAAAAACATGAGAATGGCAGAGTGAGCAAAGGGGAGATGGGTAGGGATGACATCAGAAAGATCAGCAGGGGTCAGACGGCAAGGGACCAGAATGCGACAATGGATTTTAGGTGTAAAGAATTTTAGAGATAGATGGGGGCCCTGTGCTAGTCTAAACTAACGTCTCCAACGGGATTATGAATAGAGGAAAACAGCCACTAAAGTTACATGACCATAGCTGACTGAGCTGGGCTGTCCTTGATCCAACTGAGCCAATCAGGGAAGACCTCAGTCTCTGCTAGTGGCAACAACCTCAGCAAGTAAGCTCAGGAGCGATGGGGTGGTAGTGTTCTGCCCTGTGGTTCTGCCTAGAGATTCAGAGAACGTTGGCCTGCAGTAAACTTAGCGTCTGAGGAAAGAGGCCCATCAAGGCCTGACAGCATGTCTGTTCCTCATTCCCAGCTCCTCCTAAGGCCCTACCGCCTTCTGCCGAGGGCTTCAAACCTGTTCGAACCAGTTCTGTCATGGCCAATGACGCGAAACCAAAACAAATCCAAATATTTTTTAAATACAGGTCAAAGCCCTGGACTGAGATACTCAGAAGAGGTGTGGTGAGCCTTTTCAGGAGCCTAATGCGTGAGATTGGATTACTGCCAAGATTGAGGAAAGTGACACACATCTAAAGCGGAGCGGTCCACCTTCATCTTTGAGCAGGCACCGCTGTTTTTGCCTCCGCGCAAAATCCGCTGGGCAAGAGATTTGGTTACTATACAAATGTATGCTGCGCTTGTTTTCTAAGAGGGACATTAAGTTTCTAGTAGGTCTTTGACTCATAATTTTTTATTAAAAAAAAAAATTCAGTTCTATCCTGGTGTCACTTCGCAGGCTATGATTGAACTGGAAAGAACCGGTTCTAAGCCCTGCTTCTGCCTTCCTTCTGAGCCTTTATCCTTGTAGTAAATTCCACTTTCTGCTTGGGCCAGCTCCAGCTGATTTATGTTTCTTACAAACAAAGGATCTTAACTAGTAGATAACTGAAGCTGGCTGGACCGCTAGCACTAGCTCCCAAGAGGGATTGTGAGCATCTCTTCCCAAGTACAAGTTCAGTGATGCCATGTCAGCTGTGGTGGGAGTATTTACACCACAAAAACTGGCAAACATTACAAATCAGAACTTTTTCGGAGAGTTGGATGTTAAACATTTACCAGCACACCTGACTAGAGGTAAGAACCAACAAGCTCTAGAGTCTGGGTTCCCATCCAGGATCTGCTGCTTCCGGAGTCAGGTAAGTTATTGAAACTCTCTGGCCACAGTTTCTTCATCTGTAAAATGGGGGTAATCTCACAGTGCTGTTGTGACAATGCAATAAGAAAATACACATAAAGAGCTTAGAACACTGCCTAACATAATAACTGCTCAACAAATAATTTTCATTTGAAATTAGGAATAAAATAAGAATTTGTTAAATCTTTTGCTTCTAGAAGTCTGATCAGTTCAGTAACACATGAAATAAAAGCCAAAAGTGCATAACTATGGATATGTGAAAACAAATTTATCAAAATTCACATATGATGTGATTATATGCCCAAAAGAGTCAACTGGACAACTTTTAAAATTAATTATGGAATTAAATAGGTGTCTGGATAAAATTGAGATGCTTTTAAATCAACAGATTGTGCAACTATTTCTCAAAATTTATCCAACAGAAATAAAATACCAGTGTACAAAGATATACGTTCAATAATGAATAGTGGGTTCAAATCATAAAGGAGATGTCTCAGGGTGTAATATCTTAGAATGATCTTTGTTTCTCTGTAACTGAAATCTCCTAGCTCTCGAGCTACCATTTCCATCACTGGCAGAAATTGTCCTCTTACCAGTTGAAGGTACTTCAGTCACTTTTGGTTTAAAATATTCTCTTGGGATTCTCTACCACCCCTTTCCGTTTTCCCTAGCCTTGTGGGGATGGGGGAAAGAGATACATACCTTGCTTATGGCTCTGTCTCTGTGGGATGTGGGGAAAAATATCTCATCAGCACTATGCTTCATTCTCTCTGGTCTTACTGAAAGGTATCAGTCTTGATCATCTTGAGCATCAGCCTCCATCTCCCTAGCATCCACCCCAACCTCCCTGGCTGGTGTTACTTCCCTCTGTACTCTTGCATAAATGTGGCCTTAAATAGTGATTGCTGCAGACGGAAGCTTGGTGGTTTTCTTCTGCTAACTTGGGCCCCACCTCAGTCTAGATAATGCTACTGATCCTTCAAGAATCAGCTCTATCTTCTAGGAAGTCCCCAGGGTTGTCCTGCATGCTGTGCTAAGGAGTTTCTAAGGCTCTCAACGCTCAGGTCCCTTCCAGGCCCTCTCTGGAGGCCTTGGAAACTTTTAAGATATTCTCCATAATCTGCAGAAGTCAAGGAGGCTCAGGACCAGTTGTTTCAGATCTTCTCAACCGAAACATACCTTGTTATCATGATTACTCTGTTGCAGCCACCAGATGTTGCTGCAAAGCAGGTTGCACACTGTCCTCTCTTGAGTAGCAGATAGGCAGAGGCAATGCTTATGCTTCACAACAGGCTTCATACAGTCTTCTGTCCTGGGAGGGGCCCTAGCAACTCATTTATGTGAGTTTTAGTTAAGAGTTCCCCCAGCAACAGACTCTAAGACAAAGATGGAGTTCAGGTTGTTTATTCGGGAGGTAATCCCATGAAATACCAGTAGAGGAGTAGAGAAATAAGATAGGAAAGGCAGCCGATAAAGGGGCATCATGATGAAAGTTACCACTATGGATGTTGTTGTTAGTTACCGTCCAGTGAACCCCCAACTCATGGTGACCCCATGCACAATGGAATGAAATGCTGCCTGGTCCTGCACCGTCCCCATGATCGGTTGCATATCAGACCATTGTGATCCATAGGGCTTTCACTGGCTGATTTTTTGGAGTAGATTACCAAGCTTTTCTTCCTATTCCATTTTCATAACCTGTCTTTGTTTGAAAGCTCCGTTGAAACCTGTTGATCATCATAGCAACACACAAACCTCAATTGACAGATGAGTGATGTAACAGGATCTTAAACCTGCTGGGTAATTCTGGGCCTCAGAGTTATCTCATCTGAGGGAGGAGTGTGCTAAAGTATTTACACACCACCTCTAGTCAGTCAGTGGTTGGAGGACTGTTGGGGGTGGGGGGAGGATATGTTGATTGTCTGGCACTTCTTGAATGCCATGTGCTCTCTGGCTCTGACTGCCAAGGAAAGTTCTCAGACTAAGAGATACAGATGTTGGTAAAACCCAGGCCAAAGTGAGGCATGGGAAGATATGGGTCCCAACTTTCAGCCTGCAACAATTTGGTTATATTTTTTGTAAAATGTATAGAAGTAGCTTTAATTGATAAAGACTCCAGTTTGTTTCACTCAAGTTTTCCTTGAATCACACTTCCTTTCTTGTCAGGCAGTACTGGAAGACACTAGCCATTCTGAGGATCTAGCTAAAAGGTGTTGGGGATATATTTAGTTGGGGTTTAGTGGGAGATCTATATCTGTATATCTATATCTCCCACTAAACCCTAGCTCCCTTTATATATATAAACC